ACGGCTTATGGAGGACATATCACAAGATTTGTCAGCGTTTCCAGTGGAAACACATGAAAGAGGACATTCAACGGTATGCTCAGTCTTGTCATCAATGTCAAGTTCAAAAAGCCAAGTACCTTCGGAGAACAGACGAGATGGTTTTGCCTCAACATTCCGACGTACCATTTGAAGTCATTCATCTGGATTTCGCAGAGCTCAAGAAGAAGGCTGCAGGAGTAAGAAGAACGCAGTCTTTCCTAGTGGCAATAGACCAGTGCACAAGAATAGTGGCTGCACGGCCGGGAAGGGAAGACGCAAATAATGTGATCGCTCTTTTGAGTCGAGAGATGTTCAAGAATACGAAAATAGTAATATCAGACAATGGGCCAGCGTTTCTCAGTCAGCGTTTGCAAGATTGGGCAAGGAAGGAGGAGTTGTATTGCGACGCTGCGCTCCGTACCATCCTGCAGGAAATGGCATGGCTGAAAGAATCATTCGGGATTTGAAGCAGTTCATTTCAATGTATCCAGGTTTTCAGGGTGGATGGAAGTGCTGCTTGGAGGCAGCTGTCGCTCATCACAATCGGTCGCACACTGCGAGCATTGGCTGTAGCCCATATTTTGCAGCTTTTGGAAAGGTACCAGTGCTTCCTGCTGATCAAGAACTTTGCATTGCAGACCGCCTGCAATTGTGCGAAAAACGAAAAACTTCGGAAGCCTACCAGCGATACCGGGAAAGTATGAAGAGGAACTTTGACCGTCGCCACAACACGCGGATACCTCAGATGCAACTGAACGATCTGGTGCTTGTCAGAAAAGGCCTTCCCAGCCTTTTCTGGGACCTTATCGCGTGGTGCAGATCGCAGTGCAACATGGCGTTCTCAAAAGGGTCGGTTACACCAACGATGATGGTGTGCTGGAATTTGCGACCATTGGAAACGTTTTCATGTATCACCCCAGGAGGGATGAGTCTTCAAAGAGGGGGAGTGTACGTGAACGTGAGGCAGGGTTGGAGGGAGACGAGGAGGAAGAAGAGGTTAAAAATAAAGATGGCTGACACCCCAGCCTAGTACTGTGTATTATTACATGATACACCACTATCTTGTGGAAAATGCTATGTCAGGCAGACGGGACGGTGTCTAAAAAATGGATTGTTAGACCATAAGTAGTCTTTGAGGTTGACACCTTGTTTAAATCTTTTCTTACACTGCAGGGAATGCGGCTGCGCACTCTTGCTATCAGAGACCAGGGTGCTCGCAAGAATGAAAAGAAAAATTGCACGAAAAATAGAGGAGGCATATATCATTAATAGATTAGGGGAAACATGCGTGGCAAAGCCCTCAATAACGTTACATGCGACCGAGGTATATTACTTGAGTGCTTGCCACTAAAAGGATTTATTTTCTGCTAATATGACTTGTGACTTTGTTGACCTGTATGAATATGTGTGTGCTTTTTCAAATTAATTTAGTTGATAGTTTGCGCTTGTCCTTCTCCCGTTTTTTTTTTTTTTTTTTCCGTGCCATAAGCTACGTTATGAATGAACAAACTCGCCCAACAAGTCACTCTGCTGAAAGAACCCGAGGTGGCCGAAATTTTCCTAGCCCTCCACTGCGGCGTTTCACATAATCATATGGTGGTTTTTTGATGTGCAACCCCAACTATTGTTGTTATTAATCTTTAGACAAGCAGTCCAGTGCTCTTGTTTTTTGTTTGGTTTACAATACCACAATTAATACAACTATGCCTTTGCGAGCAAAAAACACTTGAAAAAAATCTCACCGCAACTGACACATGCGAGCAGCAGCTGGGCAGACGCCGCAATCAAGTGCAAGGCTAACCGCAACTGACACATGCGAGCAGCAGCTGGGCAGACGCCGCAATCAAGTGCAAGCCTGTCTAGGGCACTAGAATTTTAGCAGCATGATTGATATTTGTAGTCTTATGCTTGCGTTGACATACACAAGCAATTTTTCTAACAACATTGATACGAAGAGCGAAGATGGTAGTAAGCCAGTTTGGCGAGACAGCTTGCTGTGTCGTATGTTTACCTGCGAAATGCCCTTGCATTGTGTTTTCCGATATTGCTCGTAGCTTGTAAGTAGGCACTGTTTTGAATAAGTGGCTCACTAGAGCACGGCTTTATTGGATAAGGCACTAGTTTGCAGAATGAAGCAATTTTAGCCCATCTTTTTTTAGGTCTGCAGTTTTGCCACAGCTGGTAAATGCCTCGGCATCCTCAGTCAAAATGATTGGAGTGGTGAAGAAACGACCGGCAGCGCAGGCGGCTCCACGTTACCTGTCTCCTGTGCTGTTTATTATTGTGTATATATATGGTCGCGTGATTGCCAGACCAAGTGGATGATAAAAAATCTGCCGAGTTTGACGCACGCTGGATGCCCAATTCAGCAGCCCAGTACGACGGAACATCACTAAAACTGGCTGCTGCACCAGCGCGTCATAGATAGAATCCGGCGCAAGATCATACCGCGAGTCCCACATTTTATGCACTCAGTCATGAGCTTCTTCCGTCATAGGAATTTCAGTGGCATGAAAAATTATTTTAGCTGCAAGCGGCGGCGACCATGCAGTGACAACACCTGCGACGAAAGCTTCGTGCATTCAGGTGATCACCGCAATGGCGACCATTTTGGTTTTCTTGTGGTGCCCTCTATAGTCGCTGAAAGTTGCGAATTCGATCTTGTTACATAATTCGGTTTACTCATATGGCTTGGTAGTGCTCATGTCATTACTGTTATCGCCGCGGTTTCTCCTCTAAAGTGATGGCACCAACATGACCAACTGTGAATTATCTAGTGATACCGTGAAAACTTGATAATTTATACCAGCAAGAAACGTGGCACGATCATGAACTAAACAGTAGTGCGCATTTACATTGTACAAATGTACATCTGCTGGTGTGTGCTGTTGCCACCAATAAAGAAATAAAGTGCCACAGCAGATGTTGCCCAAAGTGGCCTCCAGAAAGTCTTTTTTTCCTTTCTGCTGAAGTGCGGAAGATAGGCTAGTACTCTTGCACGATTGTTTTATAGCGGGCAGTGGCGACATCAAGGTGCATTTCAATGCTAATACTGAAATAGCGACAGAACGGACACTATTGGCTTTCTGCGATCCATATGTGTGCTTCTCTACCCAGTGTGATACTAAGGGACAACTAACAGTTTCATTGAAACTCGGAGTAGTCGCATGGATTCGATCATCTCCGGGTTAGTTGCGTGCAGCCCACTGCCTGTGCTGCCCACGCCGTCGTCGTACCATTCGCGTCGCTTTGCCATGGGAATTGCTTGTCCCCACTTTACTCCAGACCGAGCCCAGATGAGTAGAGTAGTGTGTTTAATTAGCGTGGGTATGACAAACTTCCACCAAGCGAAGTGCTCAGTGATTATAAGCGGTCATGAAAACAAGAGATAAGGATCGCTTGTCCATTGTTTTTTCCATGTTTTCTGTCAGCTGTAATGTTTAATGATAAGAACACACACACACACACTTTTGGGTAGTAAGTCTGGTAAGCTCATTAGTACTGAATGTTTAGGGGAAATTAGAATCTTGTTTTATTAGAAATAGTTCCGACTGACGATGATGTCCCTATAAAGCTGCTCCAAAACTAAGTTGCATTGCTCCAAAACACAGGTTTTGGTGCTCCGAACATGTTCCGAAACTCCCCCTTTACTACGCCAAAGCTGCCCAAAAACAGAATTGTCCCTGCTTCCTGAGCCGCTCCAAAACACTGCAGTTCACTTACACCCCTGTATAAACGTACACTGTTTGGAAACAGATTGTTTGTTGCACTTCACATCTTCAGTGGTTGATGGTGCTGTCTTCTGCAAGCTGTCCTTGCGCCGCCCACACAATCTCCAAAAGCCTTTCAGAGCTTTATTTTTTCACAATCATTGAACTGGAATACTGGTATCAGTTGTGATCTCGAGGGGTGCCCAGAAGCATGTGCTACAGTGCTGCAACGCACTTTGCCAACTCCGTGGCAACCTCGCACGACCATATCGTTGACATTGCAGCAAGTAACATTGGTGCAAGCTACCACCGAAGCATCAAAACAAGCTGTCGATTACAAAATTAATGACAAAATACGGCCGTCGCCTCGCTGTCCACATGAGAAGTGACCGTAGCAAAGTCTATATCTTGCATTTCTTGAAGTTCATGCTGATAACAAGTATGAAGAGCAAATTGCAACCGAATTGAGAATCAGGGTGCTACCATGTTGCGAAAATCGTTACGTTCTTTTCTGGGCAGCAACAATTTTTTCTGGTTTTTCAGAAACCTTCAACATGCCTGCAATGCGATAGCGACGAATGGCTCTTTGCGACAGCCATGGCAACAGCAAATCCTATTGTCGTCACTCAGAAATCGTGTACATGTGATTGGGCTTCAAAGTTTCGTATTGGCAAGAAGCGATCGTTGGTTGGCGCGGGCACTTTCATGACCTTCGCTTGCGGTGTGCTTGTCAGCTCCGATTTCTTTACACTCCCACTGTTCGTGAACCCTGCTGTGACCCACAGATTATTAAGGGGGGGGGGGGGGACGTGCCACACACAGATAGAAAAAAAAAAAGAAACAGAAAACTTCACGCTGCAGAGTGCGAGGAAGTGAGCCGAGGGGGGTCGGCGTAATAAAAAACAGAAAAGATTCAACGGGCAAGGAAGTGGCAGGTATTGGTTTGGGGGCTCCAGTGAATGGTCGTAGAGGGTGCATTCATTACGCAGGAGTAAAAAAGCCAAATTTTGACGACTGAAGTTGGGAAAGCATTTATTATGTGTGTGCGTTTAATACACGAGTAAATATGGTAGATTTCAGGTAACTGTTTGTTTCAGCATCTACTTTGTCTAATCTATGTCATGCGAAAAGGATTTGCAGTCACCTCACTTTGTGCCTAAAAGGAATCATTTTTGCATATGGAAGCATGTATTGCTGATTCTTGTTACAGACCCAAGAAAGCCTTTCAGGCTTGCAGCTGCTTTGCTAATGCGATCTGGCATATTGCAGCTGCTGGCCAACGTGGCCCAGATCATCATGGAGGAGAGTGAGGAGGGTGAATCCCAGCACACCACATGGCGAGAGGTGTTCATTCTCGTGGACCTCCTGTGCTGTGGAGCCATTCTCTTCCCAGTCGTCTGGTCTGTCTTTATTTTCAGTGATCCTGCACAATTCAAATGCAAATTCGTGTTACATTCAGTATCATTCAGTGGACACAGTTACTAATGTGTTTGCACCTCTGTGCCATAACTTAATGTGCATGACGGTCAACTTAACGTTTGAGCTAGCTGTGAAGCATCTTCAAGAGGGTGCATACAAAGGAGCACCAATTTCCAACTACAATGCATTAGCATTGAAAAGATATTCACAAAAAGAAAGTGTCACTTGGAATAAACTGGGTAAAACAAAGGTGGGAAAGAGCTGAGGATTTGAGAACGATACCATGAGAAAAGCAGTGCATAATGTTCACATGTTTTTTGTGGTCGTCCTGTTGTCGTTGCATTGTACACCCCAAAGACAATGTGCGGTGCTCGGTTCTGTCACGGCTGCTATCATTCTTACCTTTGAGTAAGCAAGGCGTTTTCATCTACAACTGCTATACTCCGTTTCATACATCATGTGCAACGCTGTCAAAGCTAGCGCTCTTGTTTGTGCTGTGTACTGCCGCGACCAAAAAGTAGTGCGTCGCTTGGGGTGTACGAGAATCAATAAATGCTTCTCGGGGAAACTTCTAAGCATACATATTTGTCATCAGGTTAAAAAACAAACGCCTGTGTTGTCGGATAAACAATCCAAATATGCGAGTTGGTAATTTATGTTTGTCGCTTTCGTATCAGGTTTTCGCTCTCCGCGCGACCCGCGCCGTCGTTTTTTTTTTTTTTTTTTTTTACTTGTTGTGGCAGCTTCGAAAAAATGCACCTGTCGTTAACCCAGCCTCATTGGAGCTGCTGTGCTACCTAATCAATGAATTAACGTCATCTTACACGCAGTACTCGCTCACATCAACGAGGTAAACCGACAATGCGGTATAATCGCGACAAAATCGCCATGCTGGTCAAACCTCGGTGCCAGCTCAGCAGGTTCCGGCCCTCACAAGGGAACACAGTATGCTACAAATGAATAGATACGTGCAGTTCACTTCCGAGTGCAAGTAAGTTGAAGTTACTGAAAAAAAAACAAGATTTCGAATTGAACTCGCCAAAAATTATTAAAAAAAAATGGCACCTCGTGGATTCGAACCCATGCACTTCAAAACTACGGTGAACTCTCCGGAGCGACGCGTCAGACCATTCGGCTACGAAACCGCGCGGAACAACACCTCGTGTTTTCTTTACGGACTACTTGCCTAGCCTTCACAGCGTTGCACCTGATGTATGAAACGGAGTATAGGTCAAAAGAGAGGTCCATCCTACTGTGAACAACTGCCACATCTCACATAGAGAGAAGGGGCACATTCACTGTTATCAAGTCTAAGGTTTGACGAAAATTCATCTAGTGTGGAAAAATCATGTTTAAAAGAAATGTACACTCAAGTTTCATTTATTGCTAGTTGGAGGTATGTAGTTTCAATTAGCTTTTATCAAAAGCCTATGAATACAATGAAAGACCTTTACTCTGAATCGGCACCTCATCAGATCGGACCTGTTCTGTTGCATGGACTCTGTTTAACTGCACATACTGATTGTGTTCTACTTTCGACGCACGCAGAGTTGAAAAGACTAACGCAGAATTTTATCAGCAGTGGCTACCCCAGCCTATTTATCGAAATGGAAAAAAGGCACGCAGTGACCCCCTGCCAGGGCAATGACAACGAAGAAGTGAGCTTCACTTCCGTATGCACAAGGTGGGAGTCACTTTTGAGAATGTTTTGAGACTACGAAGTGAACGTTTGCCGTATTCCTTCAAGCTACCAGAAACAACAACTCGCCCAAGTCAGACTGCATTAAAAATGGAAAGGAACCCTGGCGTCGTCTAATAATTCCTTGCCAGAACTGCCAGCTGTGCTGTATAGGTGAGACAGGAAACCTTACAAGAAGGCCACGGCAGCACCAGAATGATGCAGTCAAGGGACAGATGGTTTCGAACGCCTTGGCAAACCATCATGAAAAAACTGGGCACTGTCTTGACTGGCAATATTCTTCCATCATCGAAAAAAAGAAAAGATCATTATCCCACCTGCGCATCGAATCTTGCTGCATACAATCTCCAACTAGCATGACAAATCGTACATGGAGTCCACTCCCTGAGGTGTTTATTTCTTTATTTTACCCTCAGGGCACATAAAGGCATTACAGAGGGGGGGTAATACAAAAACAATGAAAATAGCAAAATATGGAACTCAAAGGTGCAACAAACTAATAAGAATGCATGTTGAAACAACCTTAAGCAATTATAGGCTTGAGACATAATCAGTGAGTGCTGCCCTAAATGACTGACGCATCCTTAAAGCAGGTGATTGAGAGAGCAAGGTGGTTCCACTTAGCACTGGTTTTTGGCAAAAGGACTGAAAAAACAGTATCCGCAAAAAGCAATGAAAATTTTATACTTAAGACCAAGACGGGATGATATGTATGAAGGCCCTGAGATGAATTGCTGTGAATTATGTTTTTAGATAGTATTTTTAAAAAGACGTAGACAAAAAAATTTTTTTTATTAGTGAAACACTAGCTGCGTGGGAACAGTTCGAATAATTGAAGCACACTGAATGATTTTCAACTGATTCAATGATAGTTGTTAATGTTTTTTGACTGGGTTTTCAAACTGAAGAAGTATGCTCGACTTTGGGTCTAATTTGTGTTTTGTAGAACAGTAACTTTAAAAGGACCGACAACTGCCAAGAACATGAACTGAGATGACTGCATAGATGAAAAGGTTGTTCCTTGTACTGACTCAGACCAACCCTGTTTTTCTTGTCAAAAGTTGAGTTATATTTTTATGTCTTCATTGAAAGCCGCAAAAATAGCCTGTTGCACCACCTGGTGGCAGACACTTTAATTATCCTACCTTCCCTGCCATGTGACCGTAAACTAGGGTACGGAGTCAGCAATTTTCCTGTTAGTGTTGAAATATTGTTTACTTCTTTATGATAAAAGATATTACTCCATGAAACTATACATATAGGCCTGTATTAGTCGTATGCATTAAAGTGGCGCTGCCTTCGCATGACAAACATTCCATGCTCGTCAGCGTGTCTCTAGCAACTTTTCTGCATGCTCATGAAACCATGCATGCAGTTTCCGAGTTGCTAAGATTTTGGAGCGACGTGGTTATTCTATCAACAATTTGTCTCGGAAATGATGTGTATTGATAGTCGGCAGGGTCGCACATATGCACAGTGGTGTTTTCGATGACTTGGCTTGTCTCATGTGTCAAGAGAGTTACGATGAAAAGGCAAGTCATCCACGACACGGGCGCAGCAACCTTGGGCGCTGCCCCGCCGCGGTGGTCTAGTGGCTAAGATACTCGGCTGCTGACCCGCAGGTCATGGGATCGAATCCCGGCTGCGGCGGCTGCATTTCTCATGGAGGCGGAAATGTTGTAGGCCCGTGTGCTCAGATTTGGATGCAGGATAAAGAACCCCAGGTGGTCGAAATTTCCGGAGCCCTCCACTACAGCATCTCCCATAATCGTATGATGGTTTTGGGATGCTAAACCTTACATATCAATCATTCAACAACCTTGGGCGCAGACTTACGCAACGTGGTACAAATACAGAGAAGCTGTATTAAGCCGACAATAGTATGAAGTTGGGCGTGTTGGTAAAACATAACTGATGACTTAGCGCGTAAAATATGTGAAACACACGACAAGGGAAGGGTCAAAGGGAGCACTTGTCCCTTCCCTTGTCCTGTGTTTCGCATGTTTCATGCACTATGTCATTAGCTGTATAAAGCCACATCGTCTCATTGTAAGAACTTATTTTCAAAAATAGTTGTAAAGCTTAGAATGAATGTGGTTAAGCACAGTTACAGGAACTCCTGCAAAAGCAGAACGACAGCACGCACAAGTCGCCAGAAAGGGCGCCGGCACCGCTACCAGTTTTCAGCATTGCTGAATGAAAGGGCTCATTCGTGTGCAAAACCTTTCAGATCGAAAAATTCTGTTGATAAATTGACTACATTCTTTTAAGATTAACCACGGCACCTACAAACTCAACAAAGTGTAAGCTTTCTGTTACGCCTGCAACAACTGGGTCAAAAAAAATCAGTTGTCGTTCCCTTTAATTGGCTTAGACCTTCCGAAAATTTTCTGCATATTTACACGAGAGATCTGTTGACCATGTTAATGATGTATTCAGTTTGCACATGCCAAGAAAGATTATTGGCGAGCTGAACTTCGATATATTTATACAATGTTACGTGCTCGAGGTTGATGTTATTGATAGCATAGCCGAAACATGTGGATGAGTCACAGAAACGCGAGAAATGCATTATTTTGCGTTTAATAGGATAGCCTTTGTTGGCACCAGTTTTATATGTTATGTCAGTCTGATTAAAGAATAAAGTTATCATGCTTATTATATAGTAATATTTCACAGTATAAAATGCAGGCATCAGCAAATAGTTTAATGGATTTAATAATAACATTAGGTAAGTCAATAATGTAAGCTGGAAATAACAATGGACTAAAGTCAGAGCCTTCAGGGATGCCCAACTTCATGTCACAACACGGGGATGCAGCATCATTACCAGTTATAAATTGAGTATATCTAGTTGGTTAGAAGACATTCTATTCAGCTCAAGATGTTAGGGTTAATGTTAAGAATAATACAGTAGAATCTCGATGATACAATTAGGGTTGATGCAAATTTCACGATGATGCAAATAATAAAATTGCTTTTGATGGACTACATTGTATAAAATACGCTGTGATCGCTGTGATTCGACAAGACAGGAACAGCGGGGCAGAAAGACACGAGCGTGTATCTTTAAACGAAGCACTAACACACACTTCTTCTTCGTTCTCTTTGTCCTTTTCGGCGCGCTAAGGCTTGCCGGCTCACAACTCTAGGTAGCATTATTCCCCCTCCCATTAGAGCATCGACTCGATGCTCATACACAAGGGGACAGCAGGGCCCATAAGGGAAAAAAAGAAAGGGAGAAATGATACTTATAGTGCACAGGGCATATGCAGGTGCAAA